CGCACTGGCCCTATGCTCTGTATACCTTACTCATTCCCGCATAATAATGACATTGAAACTCACCGCGCTATGTAGGCTATCACGAATAATTCGTAAACAACTACTCATTCGTAGAGGTCTTCCATGTGAGATCGGTATTTTCGCGTGGATAAAATCTTTCCCAGAAGAACAGATGCAAATTCGAATGGGCTTTTGGAATTTTTATGGCTTGGCAGTCGCCGTAAGGACAATAGACATAGCGGGCTACACCTCTGTGCAAAATTCTTCTCAAATAATCAGGTAAAATCTTAGATATTTGACCGTTTACACAGCGAATGCTTTTTGGCGCTGTTTTCGTAAAGTAGTAGACTTTTCATGACTTTTTTAGGCTAACGTCCATGGCTTGCACATTGGCTTGTCGAATATATCCTTAAATCTGCAAAAAGTAGTGCTACGGACCCAAATTTACTGGCGAGAAGCCAAGTGGATCCGTTTGACGCGCAATTTTCAATGGATCCACTCAACGGATCCGCTCATGCTTTTGTATATTGAGGTTTCATGCTGGTAGCGTGCGCTGTGCAAAATTTGGGCTCAGGACGTTGGCTGGAACACGCTCTATTTCGTGACAGACAGAGATTCACACACACAGACAGACAAACGTAAACAACCCTTAGCCCGTTATTATAAGTTATGATAGTCCCAGAGAATAAAGTCATTTAGAAAAGCGTTGCACCTGGTATTTGATCGTTTCATAAAGCAAACTTGTAGGGATGAACCGTTTTCAATGGAACGATCACAGCAAGGGACAATACTTATTAAAACTCAGCATGGACGGCCAACACAACAATTGAGAAAACAATAGCAACAACAACAACAACATCAATACCACTAGCTGACAAAGCGCGAAAAACTGAATAATATCTGGCCTGTGGCAGGCGGCGCATTTTGCCATAAATCCACGACGCACATTTAGTCCAAATTGCTCTCCGTTTCGTGGCCATGAGCTCAACAAAATAAACACACTGCTTCGCTCCCAAATAACACAACTTGGAATTCACTGTCCTGTTACGTTTACACCACAACTTCTAACATTTTTGAAATTTTTTACAATTTCCTGGTTCTGTCCCCTTCCACATGTCAGCTCAGTGCCACTTTAGTAATCAACATGCTCGCTTTCCCCTCCTTTACAACTCCCACTACCGCTCAGAATTTCCAGTAAATTATGAAATCAAGAAATACTGGGCCTTTTTACTAACGATTATATTCGTAGTCAGCATGCTAGCTTATTCCCTTGCGTCTGTTCTCAACACGCATAAAGTTTTCTAGCTCAAAGTTTTCAAAAAAAAGAAGGACTTTAGCTTTATGCAAGATGAAAAACGCAGGCATGCAACGAACAATGTGTTTAAATAAAATTCGCTTTATAACTATACGAACGGCACTCATTTTGAGTGTTTCTGGAAAAAGTTCGAAAGACTGTTAGTGCCACATGAAAGAGCACGGCCGTCAACGTCATATGCAACACAAAAATTAAATGTCAATATTAAAGGCATTTTGCACCAAATGCGAATTTTTGCGATTATTTAGCGATAATTTTAGCGATATTTTTTAAGAGTTACATTAACAAAGTATGAAATTTGTGCTAACACTAAACGCAGTACAGTTCGAAAAGATGAGCGTTACTTTCCTCGGATAGCTCAATACATGCTTCTACAGTAGTGCGCTCCAAAATCGCCTTTTTTTTCTGTGGTTCAAGCACTTGATCGGCTTCTATCAAGGCTATAAGATGAATTATTTCTCAATAAACATGTTTGATGCTTGGAAAATCCCCGTGTTCTCGTGGCGTTTTCCAATCAAGTTTTAGGGGCACCGTCCACCTTAAGTTGAGGGTGTTGAGGTTTTGGCAGCATGTAATAGTAGGGCCCTCTATCTCCAATGCCCAAGTCGCGGCGCAAAATGCCATTCGAGAGCGAGAAAATCGCTTCGGAATAGCGAAGATGCACGAGGAGACCCCCATCCATGCCCGCCTTGTGCGCGCTCATCCAATCACCGTTCTGGAAATGACATAAGAAGGCCCTGAAACGACAAAAACGTGGAAGTCGAAAATCTGGGTGGACGGTGCCTTTAACCTTACCTTGGAGTTAGACAATTTAGAGCCTCAGTACTCAACTTCCGTTTCGCGCAAAGGGTTGAGATGAAACAAATACATTGTTTGTATTATACGTCGATGTATCTGTGCTGTGGTATTTGATTTTTTGCAAAACTAGTCTTGAAGCTTTGGTGCTAAAAGGGAAAAAAGTCTGATTATATTAGTAAACATGCCGCTTTTGTAAGATGACGTCAGGTGGCCAAAACAAATACGTAGCATTACTGAACTTTTTCGGCCAAACACAAAGTCTTAGGAATTTGTAGCACTTTGTGCCTAGCTTGTTACAGGAGCACAGAAGCTGAGTTCTAAGGCTCGAAATTGTGCTAACTCCACGGCAAGTTTGAAACTCGTTTGAAAAACGCGACGAGAATACTGAAATTTTTCAAGCATCAAAAATGTTTATCAAGAAATAATTTCACTTACACCCTTGTAGAAGCCAATTAAGTGCTTGAACCATAGAAAAACGGAGGCGATTTTGGAGTTGAGCTCTCTGAGGAAAGTAACGCTCATCTTTTCAGAATGCGCTGCGTTTAGTGTTAGCACATATCTCATACTTTGTTGAAGTAACTCGAAAAAAATAATGAACCGAAAGGTTGGAGTTTTGCGTGAAAAGGAAGTCGTTTGAGGTTCGTTCAAGAATCGCTGAAAATTCGCAGTTGGTGCAAAACGATTTCTAAGATTGACACCAAATTTCATTTTTGTGCTGCGTATGCCGTTGACGGCTGCGCTCTCTCATGTAGCACTGACATTTTTCGAATTTTTTCTAGAAAGTCACAGAACCCTCAAAATGGGAGTGTTCGCATGATTATATGAAGCGCATTAATGCATAGTAATACAAACAGTATTGGCCACGTCTTTTTCATAGTGCCGTACCGCAATATTTATGCCGGCTACCGCTAAGTAGCCGCTAGAACTGATCTGGTGTCTTATTACAAGTATGTTAAAGGCGCTTCCGCCCCCTTGCAAAAACTGGCTGCATATATGGCCAAATTAGTCAACTTGTGACTCAAGAGTTGAGCAAGCATACCCGAGCATCTGCAAGCGCCTTTGATCTTTAGTCACGTACGATAGATTGCGAAGAAGGCGATGATACAGAAACTGTAATTTTGGAAAAAGTGACACAGTGCACTCAACATTATAATGCCATATCAAAAGTGCAAATACAACAGCTCAGCAAAGACGGAAATGGAAGATGTTTATATCATCAGATACTTGTTTAGCGCTCGATACTTGACCTGCTTGCGAAATGAATAAGAGATAGGCATTGTTTTCTGGCAAATAGGCATTGTTTTCTGGCACAAGTATCTAATTGGACTTGCACTTTAACTTAACCATCTTAAGGGCTGGGCATACTTCACGCGATTTCAATCGAGACGCAATTTGGCATTATTCCAAGTGTCCATAACTCATTGTACGCAAATTTTAAATGTACAAAAGATGGGGTGTTTTATCAATTCAAATAAGTAATAACACACTATGCATGTGCGGTTTGCTAGTGTTGGATCTGAAGATTTCTGGCGAATTGCCAAATCGCGTCGCGACTGAAATCACGTGAAGTATGCCCGGCCTTTTAGTTGAAAAAGTTCTGCTTTGAAACGCATTTATAAGGTTCCCGACAATGTTTAAGAAACAAGAAATGTTTAGGCAACCTTTATTAATGAATTTCTTTACGCCTTCTCATCGGGTCTAATGTGAACTCGCACTGCATCATAAGTGGACAGACTTCAAAAATGTCATCATCTATTTATTTCATATTTGATCTCAAACAAGCAAAGTAGCACTTTGAAAGTTGCAAGACCCTAGCGTCCATATTGAGTATGTCAAACTAACAAAGAAAAGCACTATCTAAACAAACAAAGTTTTTACATCTGTGAATGGGTTCCTACATGGGCTTACGAGCGATTTTGTGAGGAAGGAAAGGGTAGTGAAATCTTCCAAACGCTGTATTTTCCACCTTTCTGAAACTCAGCACATACGGAGACGTGCTGGTCCGACCCTTGGTTTTTTCAGAAAACGCATGTCATACGAACCCACCTGGTTACTGACAAAGAAAATTGGGTGCGGAATCCAACTTTTGATTGTAGTAAGATGGTGGCAAATTTTGAATGTCTGCAGGTGTGGATTTGATTTGAAAAAAAACGAACAGTGTATCCTCTGAAAAACTTCACCAGAAAGAGATAGTCATATTTTTGAGTTTCAGTTATGAAATGTGGCAATCGTGCACAAGCTTGTAAAGTGCATCAAATACTGCTTTTATGGAAACCACCAGACAATAACCAAGATCCAATAATGGACCAATTTCAGTTTATTTTTTTTGCTAGAAGATTTTGTTCAAAGTTACCGACATCGCATGGAAAAGCTTTTGGATTGAGTGACTGTTTACGGTTCACTCGCGGGCTGACAAATTATCGAGCAATCCTCGCGTCAGGGCCCGGCGGAGGTGGCGCTTTCACAAGCTGGATATCGTTTTTGGCCACGAAAAGCAAAGGGAAAATCGTATTTTGGGGTCCGGGGCGGAGCCCCGGAAAAATTTGATGTGCAACAGCAAAAGAAATGCATCAGCACCCTCATGCACTAAACATTTATGAGAATTTTCGGTGGAGTGTTTCAACACTCTAATTTGTTCGGAAAATTGACGAAGTGTATCATGATCTTGCAACAGAGCAGGATAGGGTTTCTCCTTGACTTTTCGTATTCTTCAAAGTGAAGAGAATTGAAGAAACTCAATATAGGTAAGGGAGCTTATCGTGCATTCCAGATAGACTCCGAACACTAAAAATTACTTTTGAAGAAAAAAGTTTCAAAATCAGAGCTCTATCTTCAAAATTTACGGAATTTGTTCTTAACGATCAAGGTAGGCAGTAATCGACATATAATGTTTGTAGACGGCACTTCAATCTACTCAGTCAAGGAGACCGATATTCATGATTTTTATCACTTCCGGGTAACTCATTTTCCATCCAAAGTATGAGAATCAAACTTTCTACTAAGCCTTATCACAATTTAAAGATTCTATTGAGACTTATTTCTCTCACAGGGCGTAAGATTTGCTTCTCAAATGACGTTTGCAATTTGAAGAGGAAAACGAAATGGAGAAATTAATTGAAGAATGATGCTACATTGCAGATACCTGCATATATATCGACGCTAGTGATTTAGCAATCAAATTTTATTTTCGAGATTTTCTATTTTCGAATTTATTCGATATTCATTCATTCGATGAAGAAATCTCGAATTACCCAAGATACTCTACAGTTCTAATGACAATAAGTATATACGTATATGTCCGCTTTATACTTCAAAAACAGACACTGTTTGCAAAGCAGTGTATCCTTTCTCGCCCCCCTTCGCCGTTAATGTGCCCCATTGCCCATCAAATGTTCGCAAGCAACCTCAAAAGAGCACGCGGGAGTTCAAATAGGAATTTTTTGGAACGAAAAATCAAAGATTAGGCTCGTTTGCAACAATTAGGTAACGATATGACACCAAATTTGGTGCACGATAAGATAGCAAGGAGTGGAAACAATGTATGAAAAATTATGAAAAACTTATGTGAACTCAGGGAATGGCAATTGTTTTTCCAAATTAGGTGGCTCCCGCGCCACCTGGGAGCCACCTGGGGTGGCTCCCTGCTTACGCTCACATAATTTTCTGAGTTTCTTGACATAAATGTAAACTAGGTTGAAAGTGTTACTACTACCACAAATCCGCTTCCAAAAGCATGAACTATTACATTTGCTACAGCCTCAAATAGATTTTGCATGGGAGCGTGTAGAATTAGAAAGTGCGCTCCAATCCCACGGCACTAACATCAGCTGGATCTTCAACCATCTCCCTAGAGTTTTCTGTTCATCTTATTCATCTTACATTTCTCTCAGACTGTCCTTGTTTAGCATTTTCAAGCATGGTTATTTGTTTCGATTTCAGATGAAGGTTCCGTAGAAGCAACGAGCGTTGCGGCGCAGAAAAAGGGGAAAACAGGAGAGAAACCCAGGGCTGGTGGTCACTCTGAGATTATGGAGAAGAGGATGAGGTTTGCTGTCTTACATTATTCTTCTGTCTATCTATTACTTGTATAGATACTCAGTTCGGCGTCAGTTATCATCATTATCATTTCTGATTTGCGCTACTTATACACTGTATAGTATCATATACATGAACATCCATGGAAACTCAAATAGTCTGGTCAATGTTTTCTCTTTAGATGATATATACCTTGATCACACCTGTGTTCAAAAGGTGGATGATGATGACATTTGATGCCACTGTCTCAAAGTAGAGGTGGCTGCCGGGAGTATCAAAACTTGCCATTTGAGGAATTCATAACTCTACTCTTTTCACCTTTTCTGAAAAGCAATGATATTATTACATGATGATGTAATGATCTCTTATTTTGTTATTGGCCTTTTTCATGGTAGTCGCTTTCTCGCTGCTAGTTTTCACCTGAACCAACGTTTACTGCCGAACGAAGTCGAAGAAGCCATGGGCGCGAACATGATGTTTTATCAGCCGTGAAGCGCATAAGGCGCAGGGTTCAAAACGATTTGAAGTTGTTTGCCTGCTTGGCAGAAGACTTGATTCAATGTAGAGTGTTGATTGGCCTACGAAACTATTCCCTATTATGATCTAGTTCATTGCTCAGATTTTTTTCTTTAGAGTTATACTGACCATCTCTCTACTTCAGGTCTCATTGGCTCGTCGAAAATGCAGGAAAATGATACACGAAAGTTCTGATGAAGGACCTGCAATTCATCGAGGCCTCGAAAAGGTGGAGAAAACAAGGTGAGAACTTATTTGAGATTGAGCCGCTATAAGTTTGGAAAATACCATCATATTTTCATGAATTACTTCCTTTAACTTCATCAAGTTTTTGTTTTCTGTCTGTGCTCTTCCTTCATTCAGGCTTCTGAACACTCTCCGCCCATATCTGCAAACGTTCCCAACTTTTTTGATGGTGCAGAACCCCTACCGCATACAAGCAACATATCTCAGAAGATATCGGCAAAATTCTGTTCGAAGGGCAAGGTAACGTCTGCTATGGTTACGATTGCTTTACATAGCACTATATCAGTTTGGATTCCAGTGTCCCTATATCTCACATTTCTCAAGAAGTATTTGATCTTCTGGTGATCAAGAATTCTTGAGAATTGTTGGCGGCAGTATCATGTCGATTCGACTTGTGACTGCTCATGTGGTAAGCAGAATTCAACAGATGTTAGCGTTCCCCACTTCCGATGTTTCATTTATGCTTACCGAGAGCAGGAGGTGTGTTCTGTTTTCTTTTATAGAAGTTATCTGTGTCTTTTGAGTCATTACGTTGATTTCGGTATTAGTCATGCCACGGAGGATGTTGTACTTAGTTTTAATTCTGTTCGAAATTTGCAAAATCTTGGTATGAAATTTTACGGAAATGGTCACTAGCAGGTAATATAGCCTAGAGACCCTGAAGCTCGTTTGAAACTAGAAGTTCCAGGTTGCTTCTCCCGCATGTTTGATGACAACTCTGCTGAAGAATGGAACAACGAAAAAAAATGACATTGCGTAACTATCGTCATCTAAGGCAGACTCGCCGAACCTCAGATCATTTTAGGAAAATGTGATTGACAGTATGATGCGGAATTGATAAGCGGCATGCAAGTTGATGTTGTAAATTTTTCATCTTACATAGATCACCTTGATTGCTTTTATCGTGATAAAGTGTGGAAAAAGTTGTGCTGCTAAACAAATTTCATTGCTGATATCACGGAAGCAGAGAGGAGGAGTGAAGAAGTAAGTTTTATGATTTTGAAGTGTACCAGCTGGTAACTAAGCGTCGACAGGTGTTTCCGAGTTTGCTAGCCTGCACAGTAAATGTTATGCGGCATGATGTAGCTATTTTCTTACATTTACGTTCATTGGGCATCAAGCAGGAAATCGTAGAAATTTTTGAAAGTCAAAGGGGAACTCGTTTTGAAAAAGTCGAAACGCCACCTGCTGCCGGGCCCTGCCTCGCGTTTCAAGACAAATTTCAAAACATAAACCACAAAAGGCGCATATAGTAAACCCAGTTAAACCTGCGAGCCTCTGCGAAGCAGCTGTGACATTGGTGAAGTATATCTCAAAACAATGAATCTCAGAATCAAGCTCAGCCATGTTGAGCATAAGGCTTGATGTGCACTTATTAGATCTGGTCCAGTCATCTCAAAGCCAATACATCATATTAGTCTAAAAAATTACTGAATACCTGCTCTAGTCGTGCGCTTAGATTTTCTTAGAAAACCGCTTATATGCACTCAAAAACCAATCTAAATATGAGAAACAAATTTGTAACCAGCGTTTTAAGTCGCATTCACCATAGGTACATGTATGCAGAGCTTGACACTTGTCATATAAAACAGCTCCACATTTTTATTCGCCTGCTTAAACACGCCATGGCGTTTTCACAAAATTTCTATAGAGGATAAGCAGCAAAATAGGAATTGTAAGAAAATTTTTTGTTTACTCATGTAGTATTTTCGAACAATGTTCTCGACCTTCAATTTTCAAAGGGCAAACAGCACAGCGATCAACACGAAGAAACTGAAATGAGAAGATATCAAATTGCAGAATGATTTGGTTGACTAGCTTACTAGTTGTGCATTTTAACTAAAGTCGAATTTTTGAATGATTTAAAGGAGAACTCATCAAACGACCATCCTTCATCTAAAAATAGAAGTTTTACGAAAGATTTCTTGAGTGTCCAAACTCTAATCTCTACATCTCTTAATGAAGCGGGCATTGGTCATCATGGTTCAGGTACTACATTAGTTGCGTGAAAGTTCCCAAAGGCACCGTCCACCTCGTTGATTGTCTTGAGCTTTTGGCAGCATATGATAGTAGGGCACCTATCAAGCCAATGCCTAAATCGCGACTCAAAATGTTCGAAGGCGAAGGCGAAAAAATCGCTCCGGAATAACGAAGATGCACGAGGAGCCCCAGACCGCACCATCCTCCCCATTCATGTCCGCCATCCGTGCATGCCCAGCCGATCACCTCCTAGAAAGCAAGCCTGTGGGTTCTCTGGAACGGGGATTGTTGAGGTGAAGCTTTGACTTTTGCTGTTATGTGATGCAATAGGAAAGCATCAAATGACAAATCTTCGTTACAGAGGATCTGGTCACACAGAGTGCAAAAGATGTAAGGAATGTTTCCTCGCTTAGAATCTCTTGTCCAAATACCGTTAGCAAATCTTTGGTACTGGTAGTTGGCTGAATCGGTGTTTAGCATAAAAGGCACAAGAAGGCAATACTGTATGCAGTGATTCTTCTTCCTTTTCGCTTTGCTCCTATTTTGCCAGATTACCTTTAGGCTGCGTTCATACTGATCCCGAAGTCTGGAACAGTTCCGGCACAGCGCTCATTTCAAGCGGAGTACTAGAACTGTTACCGGACTTCCGAATCAGTATGAACGCAGCCTTACCGCTTGTACCTTTCATTATTGAACATCGGGCGCGTTCGTAGAGGTAAAGATGAAGAGCGCTAAGTAGGGAAACAGAAGAAGTTTGGCTGCAGAAAGATTGCTCTATTTGTCCGTCAGTAGATCTTCTGCAGAAGTCTCATAGAAATTTGGAGAAGTTGAATTTTGATATGATCGAAATTAAAGGTTCACTTTGCATTAGAGAGTAATCATGTTTATCAAGCCATCGTTGAGAAAACAGCATCTGGAAAAAGAACGAGATAGAGACTCCCAAAATTTTTCAAGTTATCATGCGCAGTTGAAACGCAAGAATAAGCTTTGTGCCATCAATGGTTTTTAGTAGATCAAGCTCCTGTTTCTCCATCGCTCACATGGTCCAGCAACACTATATACATTGTTTTCAAACTTTCTTCCTTAAGGAAGTACACCGCACTCTTCTACCGCATTCTATTTTTTCTTGAGAGCACCTGCTAGCAAGAAAAATTAAGTGCATTAGTATCAGCGTGCCAGTTTGGAAGTGAAATAAGGTTTTTTGGTCCTCTGGAGAATACAGCTTTTATCCTACGTGTAAAAGAAGAATTTCGTTTGTTCAGACTACGCCACACCGGCGTGGACTAAAGAAACCTTGCACACTTGCTGCTTCTTGATAAATGGAATGTAAGGCATCAAAGCACATCAATCAATCGGTGAGTTCCTAGTTCTGGCGAATGACCAAAAGCTTTCAAGCGTAAATTGTAAGCAAAGTTGTTTCTGGCTAGTAAAAAGCAAAGCTCTATTGCAGTAGCAATGCTCAGTTGATTCAATAATTTAAAATGCTTTGAGATAGATCACATTTTTTTCAAAGTTCAATTTTTTTGGTTTTTGTCAGTGCCTCTTGTTCAACATATGCAACACTTCAACATACCTTCGTCACTGAGCCGCATACTTTCTGATTTGTCTACATCAGATGTTGCTTCTAAAAGAACCAGTTTTCTTCAACTTCTCTTTAAGCATAAAGAAAGAACAGACAACCATCTGCTACAAGAGTGTTCAAGCAATTTGTAAACAAACTTCCTTTGTCGTAAGAAGAAGATTTTTTCCAAAGATTCTTGAAAGAAAACTATAAGCACAGAAATTTCTAAAATTTTAAACTACCCTTATGAACTTGTGATCACTTGAACAGAAGTCCTTCGAAGAGCACGTACACGCAAACATGTTTGTGGATTTCATAATGTAGCAGCCGTCCTTTACCTCAAAATACAGGCTTACGCCAAGCTGAACTTCCGTCAGCAATTCATGTTCAAATTTTACTACTTATGATGAATTTTTTAATTGCTACTAGGTAAGAAAAGAGCGTAAAATCCTCCACAGTAAAAGTCTGCATGTATAGCGATACTGTGTAAATGTGATGTTATATAGACAACTCTATGTATTCTTGCTTGCATGCTCTCTGTGTGAGAATCTATGTATGTCTGAATGTATGTCCGAAATAAAAAATTTTATTTTCAGTTTGGACCTAATTTTGCTCACATACATGGGTAGAGGAACAACGAATACCTCAATTACGCACCGCCTACGGGGACTGCTGGCTCTTTCGCATACTGTTGTACGTCGTGTCAAGGCCAGTAGTCTTCGGAAGCAGCGCCTAATCAAGGTATTCGTTCCTTTATCCCACATACACTTCAGGAAACAGTATCACAGGCTGCTTTTCGTTATCGTTCGGCATCGATAACAGTGCTGATCGAGAAATTTTAAGCACTACAGCGGGCGCGCGATGACGGTTTTTGTTCTGCTGGATGCGATCTCACCGCGATTCGGGACATGATTGGGGGAGAAAATTTATCCATCTTCTCTTTTTCTTATGTTTTTCTTCTTTCCTCTTTTTTCATACTCAGTAGAATTTGTATGCTCTATAGCTAACACTATACAAAACACCTCTAAAGTTCTTGGTGTAGTGGGGAGGCTCAAGAGCAAATGCTCTCAAGACAGACTTTGTAGTGGTGTCCGTGTTTATTATGAGAAGTTTCATAATGGGTTTTAACGCTCTGAGGCTCACGATTAGAAGGAAAAAAAGGAAGTTGGCCTCTATTATAATTTTGAGTAGAAGAAAAATTGAGTTGTACGCAAATAGGTGACCGTGCACATTTTCAATTTTCGCTATAAGGACTTTCAAGGCTTTTCGCATGGCTTAACAAACACTTTATCAGCAAAGTAAGATATTTGATAAGTAGCCGTTCGCAAGAGACACATGTAGCTGGTGCGTCTTGGGACGATGACTGCAGGTTTATTTTCAGTATTTGCTAAGCGAGTGTCTGAAAAAGGTCACGGCTTTTCCTGCGCATGTTCCACATATTCATTGATACCTGAGTTTTCGAGAAACGCAATTGAGACCGGTTATCCAAGCTTAAAGGAAAGCGCTCTTCAAAATTGGAAATTGTTCTTTTGAACAAAAGCCCACAATCTGTTTCATGCAGTTTTCTAACAGATAGCGAGTCTGGATTTGAAGTCGGCATTACGATTTGAAGTCGGCATTACAAGGAGCATCTAAGGATATGTCCTCATTATGACCCACGATCACCGAGTATCCCTCAATAAAAGCCCGCTCTACAGAATGGTAGCTAAAGCACCTTTGAAGAATTTTATGATAAGAATTATTAGCAACCAAACAGCATGCACCTTTTTGGGACACTCTGTAGAAGCTAGCAGTGTGTACATGGTATAAAGAGTAACTACTGATCGAGCTGATTACATTGGCTCAACAGCCGCCTGTACCGGCACTCACATATAGCATTTCACTTTCATTTCACTTTCATTTTAAGCACTCATTTCTTAGTCCCTTTCACAGCTCGAAACAACTCATTATTTTTCTCCTTTTGAAACAATCATAAATGTTGTCATCACCATTACTATTACTATGCTCAGCCATAAATTACTTCTTTTTGACTAGCTGGCTTACCCGGCTCCGCCGTATCCTGACCAAACTTGGCACACATACACTTCGGGCCCCGGCGGGTGTCACAGTCCACTTTTCGTTATCGATCGATGTCGATTTTACCGATTTTTATCGATTTTTTTGCAGAGTTCACCTACAGGGCTAGGAGTTGGCACAGGGGGGGGGGGGGAAGTGAGCATGGGGATTCCGAATACAATATTAGTTTTCAGAATTATCGATTACTTTTATTGATTTTATCGATTTTTTGTAAATTTTGACATGCGAGGCTGGGATTTTGCACAGGGGGGTAATCGAGCATGCTGATTACGAACACAATATTAGTTTTCAGGATCGTCCATTACTTTTATCGATTTTATCGATTTTTTTGTAAAGTTTGAACTGCGGGGCTGGGAGTTTGCACAGGGGGTAATCGAGCATGCAGATTACGAATACAATATTAGTTTTCAAGATCGTCCATTACTTTTATCGATTTTATCGATTTTTTGAAAATTTGAGCTAGGGGGCTGGAATTTGGCACAGGGGGGTAATCGAGCATGCTGATTACGAACACAATATTAGTTTTCAGGATCGTCCATTACTTTTATCGATTTTATCGATTTTTTTGTAAAGTTTGAACTGCGGGGCTAAGAGTTTGCACAGGGGGTAATCGAGCATGCAGATTACGAATACAATATTGGTTTTCAGGATTATCGATTACTTTTATCGATTTTATCGATTTTTTGAAAATTTGAGCTAGGGGGCTGAAATTTGGCACAGGGGTGTAATCGAGCATGCTGATCACCCCCCTTGGGGATGATCACCATGCTCGATTACCCCCCTGTGCCAACTCCCAGCCCCCTAGCTCAAACTTTGCAAAAAAATCGATAAAATCGATAAAAGTAATCGATAATCCTGAAAACCAATATTGTATTCGGAATCCCCATGCTCGATTACCCCCCTGTGCCAACTCCCAGCCCCGTAGCTCAAACTTTGCAAAAAAATCGATAAAATCGATAAAAGTAATCGATAACCCTGAAAACCAATATTGTATTCGGAATCCCCATGTGTTTTGGTTCAGTGGTTGCGGTGGTCTCGCATTACCTCAAACTTGGGTAATTAAACTTTATCTTTGGATCTTTAAATAATATGAACATGAACATGATAACAATAACAAGCTAAACTACACTGAACTACTATACTAAAGGATAAAAGAAAAGAATACTGAATTTGCTCTTGACTAAGCCACTTTTATATAGCAATATATGTTTGGGTATGTGCTTGAAGGAATAGGCGATGACTAAGCTCAAGTGACAAATACATGTTTTGTCTTAGAAACCAATCAAAAGTATCAACATACGACTTTTACAAGGTGAATAATGTTAAGAAAATGAAAAGCGTTTGCAAATTCAGTATACTCCGCCGCGGAATGTTGTGGTACGGGAATGTCGTCTGCTTCTTGAGCGAATGTCATCGCATTGTTGTGTTATAGGAGTTTTTCTTGTGATTTTCTTTCGCATCCTTTCTTGATCAACGAGAATATCGTTCTGATGGTACACATGATAATTCGAAAGGCCGTTTTGATGATTGTGGAGGTTATTCGCAGTATTATCTTCAGTATAAGCGGGATAATTCCATTGAGGACGAACGTATAAGTCAGTAGTAATGCTCCTGCCACGCTGACAATGGTGATGATCAGAGTGCCGCTCCATTCGGAAAAGACACTCCATATGTGATTGAAGTCAGGCATGGAGATTTCAGAAAATACTTCACTGTCTCCATTCAGCAGATGACGGGCGACGGAGTCGATGCTTCCTACGTAGCGAAGGACACCGACTATTTCAACTCCATTGATTTTTTGTCCACATTGGATGGTGCAGTTCCTATGAAACTTAGCCTTTGCTGAAGTAAATCTGAGTTCCGTGTATGTTCCTCCTAAAGAGCATGGGATTGAAAAGGCATCTTCTTCGCAATGCATTTCTGCCAATGCTTCATTTGTTGATGATTTGCATGAGACATTGACTCGTACTCCGCTTTTGCAGTTGTAACATCCAGTAATTATGGTGTCCTCGATTGTGCAGACGTCATTGGAGAAAATTGAAACAGATTGAAAGTTTCCCCATATTCTTATAATGAATTCGGCTGTAGGCAACTGTGGTATACGTGCCTGTATCTGTCCTTGCTGGGTTGCCCGAATTTCCACATTTGGTTGCAAAATGGGTAATGCGTGCTGTAAATTGCGGATATGAGATGAGAGATTCGCTTCTTTGCAGTCACACATCATCTTCGTTTCTGCTGGTAGGCAGTTGCAATCCTCAACTACTTCACAAGACAGGTTGCGGGCTTCTTCTGGAGTTCGGCATCGTAATGGTGGCTCGAAGTCCCTCGGGGCCAATGAATTGCGTTTTCCATCTGTCAAAAAGATTGAGTTTAGAAATGGTGTTGGTGGAATTCCGAGTGAAGATAGCGTGATTGTTAGTGGTTGATAACTCTTCGGGTGGTTGGGTACCAAGCGAAATTCGTGGGTGTTCTGTCCTTTTGAGTGCGTCATCGTCAATTCAAGGTAGACATATTCTTTCCATCGTGAGCATTTGAAAAATTCGTAGATTTCTTGGTCATTCGGTACAAGATAAATTCGATAGAAAAGGCATCCGGAGCTGGGGTAAAAACAATCGCACCCCACTCCCCCACAGCTTTCCACACACCCGGTAACTCCTGGGTATTCGTTGGCTTGATGGAGTTCAGGTAATTTTGAAGTCCGATTTACCGACCCGCATTTTTGTCCTTTGCAAGAGCCGGCGTGGGCGCATCGTTTACTGTCGAGAACGGCATACTTGGTGCTTCTTGAATAAATGAAAGTGTCCTTTTCGCAGACTAAAGTGAGGTTTTTCCAGCGTAACTTGATTTCGTGGATAGTGGAGCCATTTTTGGAGAGCCGTATGCATGCTTCTTGTTTGAGAGAGTTGATTTTGACCACTTCTGTGGTGTCGATTGTGCAGATTTCACCTTTTGTTGCTCGTTGACATGTGGTGGTGTGATGAGTAAAGAGATCGACGATCTGACATGCCGATGTGCAGCTTATAATTGCAAGAAAAATAGCCGTATCTGACCATAATCTTCTTCTTCGTAGGCGTCTCCTGTTCTTCATGCGATTCGGGATAGTGCAGAGTAGAAACGATAATGTTGTTTTGATTGTTGACCAGATGAGAAGTCCGCATAGACTGATTGCGTACAAAATTGGAGTTGCGAGAATCCTTGGTATGTAGGAGAGGAGGTAACATACTGTAATAATCATGTAGAAAGAAATTCCTGTCATCAATAT